TGAAGAATCCTCATCTCCTGGAAGCTGCTTGCAAAAGAGTCATGTGATAGTTTTTGCTCAAAATGGGCTGTGGCTGTCACTAATAGAAATGTCTTTTACTGCTTTGGGACTACTGTGAACCTTTCCTCTGATCATGAGCTTGACAGATCAACTGGGTGTTGCTTAATGACCCTGTTACTGCAGTTGGCAGACATTGATTTGACACATCAGGGCAGGCAGGTTCTTTGGAGGCTGGGCAATGTCAGTCCCTGACAATGCACTACATTCATGCAGAGATGATGGCAAAGCAGAGCAACATTTGAGTAATGTCCCCAAGCAGTGGGAAAACAGCCCCCATGATTTAAAATGTGTGCACACTGGCCTTTTTAGAGGAAATATTTAGTGGTCTACTCAGTCAATTAGATATTTTACATTTTCAGCAATACCTGCAAATTATTGATCACTTACCTCTGCCATGGATATTTTTTCCATTTAAAAAAATCTTCTTGACTAATCTATTTGATTAGTCATCTAAGTAGATGACAATAGTTTTCCAAAACTGTGACCTATATTGAAATAATAATGTTATTAATAAGGGATGGAATTTCACCAAGGGCAAGTCCTCCCTGACCACCTTGTGACCTTCTAAGATGGAGTGACTACATCAGTGGACAAGGGAAGGATTACAGATGTCATTTATCTGGGATGCTGTAAAGCCATTGACATGATCCCTCACAACATCCTTGTCTCTAATTTGGAGAGAGATGGATTTGATTAGGATAAGAAATCGAAGGGACAGTTGCATCCAGAGGGCAGTGGTCAATGGCTCAGAGTGTCAATGGACATCAGTGACAAGTGATGTCTGTGTTGTGACCAGTGTTATTTGTTATTTAATATCTTCGTTAATGACATACACAAAGGGAGTGCACCCTCAGCTACTCTGCAGATGACACTGAGTTGAGAGGTGCAGTTGCTATGCCTGAAGGACAAGATGCCATCCAGAGGGACCTGGACAATCTCAAGAAGTATGGGAATCTCAGTTTAATGAGGTTTAACAAAACCAGCTGCTGGTGCTGCACCTGGCTCAGGGTAACCCCCTGTCCCAGCACAGGCTGGGGATGAGCAGATCAAGAGCAGCTCTGCAAGAAGGATGTGAGGGTGTTGGTGGATGAGAGGCTGGACATGACCCAGCAATGTGCACTCAGCCCAGAGGGCCAAACGTGTCCTGGGCAGCATCCAAAGCAGCCTGGCCAGCTGGGACAGGGGAGGGATTCTGCCCCTCTGCTCCACTCTGGTGAGACCCCACCTGCAGCGCTGCATCAGCTCTGGGGTCCCCAGCACAGGAAGGACATGGACCTGTTGGAGCAAGTCCAGAGGGGGACCACCAAGATGATTAGAGGGATGGAGCACCTCTCTGATGAGGAAGGGCTAAGAGAATTGAGTTTGTTTAGCCTGGAAAAGAAAAGGCTTAGGGGTGACAGAATTGTGAGCAGAGCCTGCAAGACAGATGGAGAGGAGATGAAGGATCTTCTTGCAAGAGCAAAAAGTCACAAGGACAAGGTGGAATGACCAAACTGAAAGAGCATGTTTAGCTTAGACATTAGGAAGAAATTCTTTTCTGTGGGGGTCAGAAGGCACTGGAACAGGTTGCACATAGAAGTTGTTGGAGCCCCATCCCTGGAAGTCCTGCCCCAGGCTGAATGGAGCTCTAAGCAACCTGTTCTAGTGAAAAGCATCCCTACCCATGCCAGGGGGTTGAAACTATCTGGTCTTTAAGGTCTTTTTCAATCCAAATCATTCTGTGATTTTATGATTCTCTGAATCCAACCCTTTTGGGAATATCCAAGGTGCTGGGAGTCCCTTAGTAGCTATACATCTTCTGGATGGTTCTGATACCCTCCATTCTCTTTGTAGCTCCTTATTTAGTAGCCTTCCTGGGAGGTGAAAGATTTGGAAAACATATATTGTCTTTTTTATTTTTCAAGCCCAAAATAATGTTGTTTGTCCTGTTTACTTTCACCAGCTTTATTTATCACAAATATAAAACTGGAAAAACTCTATCTATGATAATTTATGTAGAAATTTAAATTCAATTAGAATCTACTGTGTATCATATTTTAGTTAAGAACATTAAAGATTGGGTTCATTCAGTTTATCTCTGGGCCTGCACAATTCATAAGACCACTCACAGCTGCACCTGAAGAAATTCTGTTATAGACAAGCAAATAGCAAATTAGCCATAATTATCATTAAGCAATTTGCATGCCTAATGCACTTTATGCTTCTCTGTTGGTTTGGGGACTACACAGTGCAGGTCTGTGTTTCTTTTTGTGAGTGAGCTTGACTTACTTCTGAGTACCAGGAAGCTAAAATTTAACCCTTTATGGGCAAGAGGACTGCCTCAGCAGCAGCAGTATGTGTACATGCATGGAACATCATTTCAGGTTGCACTAATGACCTTGTGTTAGTAGTATGAATGGTTCAACTTGTTAATGGGAGTTGTTTGATAAAATTTAATGTTACAGTATAGATCACAGAAAATACATTGTCAATATGCTTGTCAGTTTACTTCATATGAATGAAAATTAATTTAAATAATCTGATATCTCTTAACAGGCATACCATCTACAACAATAGTCTAATCACTCCAGAGCTCTGTCTGAAGTTGCTTTTGACATTTGAGTTGTTTATAGTGCCACCCATGCCTCCAAGGCTGTGGTCCAGCACAACAGTAAATCTCGTTTTAAATACTACTGAATCAGCATTGCAGCAGTTGTCCAATACAAAACACTGCCCTGATACAAACAGTGTAATGTTTTGATGGTTTAAATTTGTATCAATGAACTTTTAGCTGGCTTTAAATTAAGATAGTTATAAGGATAAATTCAGTGTCTCTTTCACAGCTAGCACCATTCCAAGAGTCTGCCCAAATGCTCTGTTTTCTCTGCTCTGTTCTAGGATAACATCCTTGGATGTCAACTGCAAGCTTGCAGTCTTACTTGTTTTGGTCATCTCTACGGGACACTCGTCATTCAGATTTCTTTGTCATGGATCTTACCCTAGATTTCTGCCTTGCCTTACATCTTCTCACCAGATCTCTCCCTTAACCCTTTACTTTGCCTCAGCATTCTCACAGTCTGCTAATACAGCACCATCGCTGACCCACAGCCAAGCCATAAACTTTTGCAAGCTTTAAATATAGCTGCTGTTCCTCAGAAACCACCCCTTAGGCTGCCCCACACAGAAGCTGCCAACAGCTGAGCTGATCCAGTCAGGGCAGAAGCTGCTGGTCGAGACTTTCAAATAACCTTTGTAAACTTTCATGACTTGTTTAGATAAGGAAAGAGCAAGGATTACTTGTATTAACCCACTAAACCAATTCAGATGACTCTGGCCAAAAACAGAACAGCAAGAACAAGGTGTGCATGGTAGCCAGTAAGCTCAATAATCCTATGGCAGCAAATGGGTGGATACAATAAAGAGGTGGTTGTTATAATACTAAAAAGAGTATCCTAGGACATCCAAAGAGTGGATCCAAGTGACAAAGCTCCCATGTACTAGCATAGACTCAGAATAGGTTGATAGCAACCGCAGAGAGTATCAGCAATTCCTATTTCCTCAGAATTTCCTGCTACCTCAGACCTAGCCTTCCTGACTGCTTCATATCTTATCCCAAACACTTCCACACCAGATAACTTACCCAAGGCTCAGCAGCTGCTGAGGAGCAACTCCTAAGAGCAGGCACTGCCAGCAGGAGACACTGTATGAGCTACTTGCTACAACCTGATCCAGAACAAGAACTCTGGTAGTGCCCATCCGCCACACTCCATGTGTGCATAGGAATAGAGCCTGTGTCCAGTTTTGTTCAATATATGATTTCCTTTTTGCCTTTGCTTTTCAATTACTTTCTACTTTTGTTTCCAGCTGAGACTGTTCTTTGGGGGCTCTCACAGAAGGGTTGGATGACATCAGAGATGTTCAGGGTTGAAATTCCAAATATTCCGAAGTCTGGGGCAAAGAGATGCAGAGCTGAAACGGATGGGATAGCACAGCTGGGATTCCAAAGGCACTAGGGCCTGTCTCCAAGATCAGGATACAAAGAGCTTCATGGGGAAACAAGAACTGGGAACAGGAAAGTCAGATAAAAGATGATTTACTGCTTATGTCCGACATATGTGTGATTTCAAATTACAGAAAACAGCTGTCAACCACTCAACAGAAAAAAATTAGTCAGGTTGTCCCTGACAATGTGACCCTCACAAATTTCACAGGAAATTATCAAGTTGCAGCTGGTGGAGGGACAGGCTGTAGTTCCACTTGTTACACTCCTACCCTGCCACCATCTGCTCTTTTGGCTCTCTGAGTTTTTGTGAAGGACACAGCCTGCAGACACAAGCCTGGTTTGGAAGGGCAGTTCAGAAGCCCTCCAGCAGCCTTTTAGACATGCTTCACAGCCATTTGGAAACCCCACCCCGAGGTGGTAAAGCTAGAGGTCCTAGCAACATCTAAGTTTCTGCTAAGTGCACAAACAGGTAAGCAGGCTCATTCAAGATGAGGGTTATTCAGCAACTCCAGTACTCCACATGGGCTCAGCAGCAGGTTTGTACATGGCATGGCTGCACAGCATCAGACAGGCAGGAGATATGAAAGACGTGAGTGCTGTGTGTCCTGCTAGACTAGCCAGCCCCAGCTGACAGCTGTAAAGTGTCTGTGAAATGATCCACACTAGCTCCTCTCGACAATCCTGATGGTGGAAGACTCCTCACCAGGTCAGTAGACAGGGAATAAAGAGATCACCCCTATGAGGTTGCCTTCAGGTAGCATAGCCTTCCAACACATTCTCCATGTCCACAAAGAGTGCAGGCTGAGAACTTTATGGATTTCCTCCTAACTTACATAGGTAGCTGTCACCTTCCCAAGCCCAAGCTGATGAGTAATGCACCAGAAAAAAGTTTCTAGATTTCATATTAACAAGGCTCCCTTCTTGATGCTGAGAGTTGTTCCAGTGATAATTACATTCTGTCCCAGATAAGAGCTGCTTCTCATAAACCCTGTGAAAAAAGGAGAGGGATTTGATAACTTCAATTGGTATAAATTTTTTACTCAGTGGTACCAGCTGTGACTTCATTAACTCAATGTCCAGAGGTTACCTGATGCTCTGTGCTGTTCCAAAGGAAAATGAAAAAGCTGCATGTGGTCCATGGGTGCTTCATACAGCTGTGTGGCTGTGATCAGCAATGGGATTACCTGCCCACTGCTACTGCAGCTGTTCAAGGGCAGCCTGAGCACTGCGCTGCCCTTGCACGGCAGCAGTGCTAACAATGGGCCAGTGCCTTTCCACAGGGAAATTTTCTGTAGCAAGTAGCTGATCCTGGAAAAGGAAAGCTACTCTTCAACAACAGCCCACTGTGAAAAAGCCTCCAGAAACAATATGTTGCTTCTGAACTGGCAATTTCTGTGGTGCAGGACCTGCAAGACACAGGCTGAATGCTTGTCCAGGCTGGCAATAGGAGGTGCAATGCCCTGAATATAAGGCAGAAACCAAACAAGCAAACAAAAATATCCCCACTGTGTGATCTTGCTAATTTGAAATGATCACACATACCTGCTCCTGGATTAGCTCAAATCTGTTCTTTCAGGCAATTCAATATTAGTGATCACAGAACTGTGTACTAAATTAAGCATTAATTAAACACATTCTTTATTAGTGTGGGCAGTCTCTTCAGATTAATAAGGATAGCTGTAAATGGCCACAAATGTTTAAAAGAGGAAGACTCTTGGAGTCACTAGTTGTCAGCTCAACCTTCTCATTGCCTACCCAAATGAATTGTGAAGAACACATCAGTCCAGCTGCTTTTCTTGCCTCTGTAGGATGATATTCTTGAGAACCACAACAACCTTTTATTTGAGCAGTCATTTCTACAGAAAGGCAATTGGGATATTCTGTAGTGCACATAGGCCAGTTTCAACTTCCATCAGAATACTCAGGATGCTGTCCCACCAACACAACCTAGTTCAATGCAGATGGTTGTCAAACTGGCTTCCAGTGTTGGGCCTGCTTTTATTCCCTAAATAGCAATTTTTCCACTCACAGCCATTAAACAAGTGGAAACAAAATGGGAAATATGTCTATGTATAAAACCACATAATGGCAGGTGAATAAAATATTTAAATCAGCAAAGATGCAGAAGAAGCAGCTTTTACTAACTTTCAGAATTAGAGGATCTCAAGCCAAGAGGATCTCAAGCCAAGTATCTGCTGTATTATTATGAGTTGTTCATGGAAACTGGAAGTAACAAGATGAAATAAAAAAGGCTGAATTCAGGATTTATGGCCAGAAAATATCAGTGTAATAAAATGCAAGTGGCTGTGCTTTAGGCAGATCACTGTCTACAGGAAAGATGCCAGCTTTCCCAGCTTTAGCCTAGTTAGTATGTGCATTGTTAGTCTGAACAACAAGTCAAATGAATGTTGAGTCAAAGTTTATAAGGATTTGTGCATTATTCCCCAAAATGTTTTTAATATTTTCCAAAATTTTAATCACAAAATTAGTCAAGATTGTAAATTATTGTGTGATACATTTCAAATAATCATAATGGAACTACATTTAAAACTAAGATTTTGGTTTTTTGTTTGAATTTCTCTTTAGTGTCACAAAACTTAATTTTCCCAGGCTCCAAACTGGAAATAAGAGCAGAAACTGATAAATATCCACATATAAGGTCCATTAACTTGTTATCTCATACTTGATAATAAAATTTATTTTCTATTTTTTTTTTTAACAAACAAAAGCAACCCATCATTAGGACATGAAGGGCATATTTAGAATAAAATTTATACATATTCTACTTATAGGTCAACATTACTTTCTTTAAAATAGTAGGTTACAATAAGAAAGGAAATTATTAAAAAAAATAATGCTAAAGAATATACTGCTTTTATTTTCTCCAGTAACTCTGAGTGAAGAATGACTGCATGACTTGTATCTCATTTTTTTTAAATCCACTCTTTATTACTTGCTAAAAATTTGCTACATTATTATAAAGCATTTTGACAGTATGCAATTTACTTAATGATAATGTCTTGAGATAAAATTATGAGAGAAACAGTACAAGTAGTGACTGTGTAAGTGCTGGAATTTCTAAAGAAAAGACATTTTACTGTGTCTGCTGTGACTCCAAAACTCTGGCTCATACAAAACAGCCAGATGTCTAAATGTTTCAGCTTTACATGTGTCCATGCTCTATCTTTCCTTCCTCTTTTATAAAGAACTTAAATTCTTACAAATCTATTTTTGAACAAAGTGATATTTCCTCTGTTTTTTCTTTAATTGAGTGAACTCAAGTATTCCTTGGGATCTCCCACAAATTATTTCCCTGGTTATGCCATTTATGCTTTACTGTCTATCTTTTAGTCTTCTATTAATGCTCTGCTTTTGTATTCAAGCATACCGCAGAAAGAACTCAGCAACAATGAGATTAAGGAATATATAAAATGTAGAGAGAAGTTTGTTGCCTGTTTTCATTGTCCATGACAAAGTTTCGTTTACTGCCCAGAGTCACTGTTCCCTGCAGCTTGTGCCTCTTCATGCCCCCAGACACAATCCAAATAGGGATCAGCACAGGTATGTAGAGGGATTGGTGTGAACCCTACAAGGCTCATTAAATCACTGCCCAACCAAATATCATTGGACATTCCTCTGAGTCTACTGACAAATTGCTCGACTCTTCCCTGGCCCAGACCACTTACCACTCTCAAAAAATATTCCAGAGCTGATCTGAAAGTTAACGTGGTGCTGTGGTTTAGCTTCAGCTGGCAACTGAGCACCAGGCAGCTGCTCACTCAGTGCTGCTTTCCCAATGGGGTAGGGAGGAGACCTGGAAAAAGGTAAAAACTCAGGGGTTGGGATAAGAACAGTTTAATAATTGAAACAAAGTAAAAAAGAATAGTAGTAGTAGTAGAAGTAGCACTACTACTAATAATAATAATATTAATAGTAATGAAAAGGAGAGTGAGAGAGAGAGAGAGGGGGGAATAAAACCCAAGAGAAACCAAGTGTTTTCCAACAGAGTTTCTCACCACCCACTACTCGGTGCCCAGCCCACCCCCAAAATATGACCAGCTCCCTCCTGGCCAACTTCCCAAGTATATAATAATATATATGATATATTTAAATATGACAGGATATGGAATATGACAGGTATGGAACATCCCTTTAGCCAGTTCAGGTCAGCGCCATCCTGGTTTCTGGTGTACCTGCTCACTGTCACAGTATGGAAAACTAAAAAGGCTTTGACTTAAGAAAAGCATAAACAACTAAACTACAGTGTGTTACCAACATTATTCTCATACTAAATCCAAAACACTGCACTGCACCAGCTAATAAGAAGAAACTGAGCTCTATCCCAGCAGAAACCAGGACACATGGGCCAGTCTGGGGTTGTCCCCATGTTCTGGATGCCAACAGCATGGACGTGGACCCCTATATTGCCAGCTGGCCTTCATATTGGATCACAGCCTTGCAGCCATGCTTAAATCAGCAGTAGAGACATTGTCTGGGAGTCAAATCTTCCCAAAGTGGGAAATCAATTGCTGGGCCTGAACTGGCTGGCTAATGTGACTCACAGTCCTTCGTGCAAGGACTTCCCCTTCAGTGACAGGCTTGAGGTTTCATTCTTGCCCCATTTTACACCATCCCCCAACTCTCTTGATCTATGTACATGTACATTTAAAATGTGATGAACAGCTGACCTACTGTAGATGTAGTGAGGCTGGAATCAGCTTTTTTTTCCCTTTTGATGAATATATAATGAGAGACTTCCTTTCCTGCTTACACTTTCTAAAGTAGATTTTGTATATATTTGTAACAGTGGGAACAATGATACATAAACCCATGACATTTCAAGGGATACTAACAACCTGTCTTTTTAAAAAAAGTATAAAGCACAGTGTATTTATTCTACTCTAACACTTCTTCATATTAGTTCCTTTAGGGCAAACCTGATGAGTTTGTTCTGTCTCACAATTTACTATTGCACAGCAATCTATTAAAGGTAATTCAGCACGTCTTTTATTTTTCCAGATTATTTACATTATAGATAGGATTGCATTCTACTTGACTGCTGGAATCTATTATGCATTTATGAAACTAAATTTTATTTTCACCAATGCTTTGTTAGGAGAAGGGAATATTAAACTCAGCAGAATACTTGATAATGAAATGAAGATATAAAGAGGAAAGGAGGGCGAGCAAGACAGATGTGGGATTTGTGCACCACTTCTCCAAGAAGAAAGTTACAAGATCAAAATGCTTGTCCTATAGAGGAAAATGGAAACATGAGGCACTAACTGTGCACTTCCAAACAGAAATAGCTCATTTTACATAAACTTTTGGAATTCAAATTTCCTACCAAAAAGAAATCCCCAAACCCAAGACAATGTATATTTAGTCAGATCTTTTATTTTTACATAAAGTTTTCATTGGGAAAAAGGTTGTTGTCTGGTCTGTTCATTTTATTGTTGTTTTTTCTTATTGTTATTGTTATTATGAAATATCTTTACCTAAGTTGGGGCAGGGGAGAAAACATTTACCAATTTTTTACTTAAAAATTGGTAAATGTTTTCTCCCCTCCTTGAGGAATTCCTTATTGTCTCACCCTACAATACTTTTAGAGGTTGGTCTAATGCTGAGTATTTCCACATTATTTTAAACATTGATGATAAAATTCAAAGAAGACCAGAAACTATTGCCCACTACTTTTCAGAGCTCTAGAGATGCCCAGGGACATCTGGGACTGATTAAGAAATGTGACAAACTATGGTCTCACTGCTTCTATGGACTGAGTCTTCTAGAGGATCAAGGCAGACACCTGTGTGCTGGAGCCAGGATATCAGACGGGACTGCAGCAAAGACCAACCAGTGTGCAGTGATTGTGCCAGCTGCACATCACCAGGAGTGCCAGGCCTTTACATCAGCACCAAAGATCTATAAGTTAATTGACATGAATCGGGTTCTCCTCATGAACCCAACAGGGTGTGACCCGCACTGAGCTATTTTCAGCTATTTGGGTGTCCTGTTAGAAGTCCTCACCAGTTCCTGAGTCCACTCCAACCCACAGTTAGGCTGTGCTGGTGGACTTTGGGAATGTGTACAGAGGTGCCTTTGAGTGTCTTGCATCTTGTAACACTTTGACTCTTTCTCAAACTCGATCCATTATCTAAACACTTCTATATGGAAAGCTTAAATGCTTTTCATTTGAAATTCTGCCTTGGAAATCTCCATGACCTGAACTCGCCCATGTGGCTTGGCAGTACACACATGACACTTGACTCTAGTTATTGTAAAGCTTTTCACCTGCATCCTCTGGCTGTTATGTCCATGCATTCATATTTCCTGTTTTCCTGACCCGTGAGATTTTTATTTCACTTTTCACCAGGCTAGTAAATCATTCTTGAAATAAAATGAAACATTGAAAGATAAGCTTACTTGTTTTGTTTCTCTCAACCAAGCCTCCAATTGACCTTAGAAGCTACTTAGAGTGGATTTGTGGAGTTCAAATGGTTTTTTGGCTGTTGGTGGAACAAGAGAGCTTTTTTTTTGCCTATCAGACTAACAGAGTTTTATTTTGCTGTAACTTTCCGAGGCTCATGATGGCTCGCTCCCCTCTGAGGCAGCTCGGCGGGGTGGACCCCCGACACTCCGCCGCAGCCCCTGCCCCACCTCGTCCCCGGCACAGCCTCCAGCCGGAGGAGCCGCAGCCGCCGGGCCGGGGCCGGCCCCCGCTCTGCCGCTCGCCCGCTGTCCACCGCATGCAAACGCTGCCCGGCAGCAGGAAGTACCCGGGCTGCGAGCCTCCCGCGGCCGCGCCCCGCCCGCGCCGCGACAGCCGCGCTCCGGCCCCGCCGCTGGCGCCCGGGACAGCCCGCTCCGCGCCCCGCTCCGCGCCCCGCGCTTCGCTCGCTGCCGCGCAGCTTGCGCACCCGGCAAAGTAAGTGCCTTCCCCCGGGAAAGTAAGTAAGTGCCTTCCCCCGGGACAGTGAGTGCCTTCCCCCGGGATCGGCGGTGCCCAGCGCCCCGCTTCTCCCGCGGGGCTGCCCGGCCGCGCTGCCCCGCGCCCCCGCCCCGCCCCGCCCCGGCGCGGAGCGGAGCGGAGCGGAGCGGCGGGACCAGGCGCTTGCCGGGCGGCTCTCCCTCGCTTCTGCCCCCGCAAGGAGGTGCCGCTGCCTCTCGACCTGCCCGGTAGGACTGGATGGGGTCTTAAGGGAAATAACCGCGTTTGGGATAAAATAATCGTTCTCAAAAGCATGATTTATCTCATGCTCCTTTGCCTGGCTTCTGCTGTGATCCGGAGGGCTCGGGTGCCTTCTGGCTGTTTCGTGCCGGGGAGCGTGTGAAATTACCCGGTTTAAGTCCGCAGTCGGCGTTTCGAGCCAAAACGATAGCCTTGACTGAGGTGAGGTGATGTGATCTCTGGGTATCCCTTCTTACGCTGCTTTTTTTCGAGGAGCATAATTTCTCGTGCATTCTGCAAGTTAAAGCTTCTTCTTCTTAAGTGTCTATTCAAATGTGCTTGGAATTAAAAGATGAGGAAATGGTGTTGTGATGCTTGGTGTGCAGTGTTTCTTGCAGACTGCTATTATAGGTACTGTATTCCTAAGGAACAGTCTTGAAGTGTTTTCTCCTTACAATTTTAGTTTAGGAGGTGATGCTGTACCTTCAGTAAAGCAATTAAGAGTTTCTGTTAAATTACATCTTTCAAGTGTTTGCAGTGAATGAGTTGGCACAAACTCATCTTGCTGCCTTGCTCCCCTCTGTTGGCAATAAAGACCAAAGGGATTAACGCTTAAAACTTATTTAGCCAGGTCATATTCCCGCGGATATACATAGGAAGAACAAAGCTAAGCTTTATCTGAAACCTCTAGTCAATATCCCATCTTCTGCCTTTCGTTCCCACCTTTGAAGAAAGAGAAACACTCTGGACAATCTTAATGTATTTTAGGACATCACAGTACAAATTGAAAATTAAAATTTTTAATCTGGATCCCATCAAGTACCTGTATGACTTTTGCAATTTAGGAATAGTAATGTTAATTGAAAGTATCTGTGAAGTACAAGTGCCACGTGGATAAGTCTGCACTCAACACAGTATCACTATAGAGTTAAAACAAAAAGCAGAAGATACGTGTTGAGAAATTGCAAAGCTATGTTGGGAAAACATAGCTCAATTTTACCAAAAGGAGAGTCAAATTGTGTTTGTGTCGATAGTTTCCAACCCAACACTGAGGACAGAATAGGTGTTATCTTTTTAATACATACTATCAACAGCATTGAAAGTATGGATGAGAAAAAAATCAAATCGTTTTCTCTGAAAAAGTAGCAACAGGCTAGAAATCAGTTAGATACTGTTAAAAGGATGTTATGAAGCCTTAGAGAAGGGTTGAAATTAATGAACTGTGAGATCAAAAGATGTCTTGTTTTATGGATCTCTTCTGAGATTTAAAGCTTTTTCCTTTCTCTGTTTCAACTTTGTGAGATACAGACTAGTTAGGAAAGAATTCTTTACTTAATAACATAAAAATCTGTTTTAATTGTGTGCTGTTCTGATAGATTTTTTTTTAACCATGATGACATAGAATGATTATCCTTGTACAGTAGCTGGCTGACTTCAAGTTATTCAGCTTTTCTCCATTTTTGAGTAAATAAGAGGTTTCTCTTACAGAAATGTACAGAAGACATGGTAAGGTTTAGGCCTTCCTTTTTAAGCCCCTTGACCCTTGAGTTGTGCAATGACTCTGACAAAGCAATCAATTGTGAAACTTTACAATGCAAAGTTAAACCCTGTTGCCTTTAAGTTGTTCAATACTATGGGGTTTAATGTTACCCTTTTCAAGAGAGTTTCCATAAATGTGAAACTATTCCTTGCAGGTGATTATGAATAGGTATTTATGAATGTACAAGTAACTATTTCATAGTACTTTCCCCCCGCCCAGTTTATCTGTGTAATTGAAGTGACCTCTCTTCCTATGGCATTTTTGACTCCTATAAGCTAAATGGCATCGCAGAGCAGCAGGTGTTGAGGGAAACAATTCCTGTGACAGGCAATGGAAACAAGTCCAAGGTCTCCTGGCTCAGCTTAGTTCTGTTCTTCAGTGAGTTGTCTCACCAAATCAGAGATGCTGCACCTGGCCCTTCTTGTGGGGCACGTCAGGGAGCATCATTGGCCTCTCTGTAGTTATTTGGGAAAGTTTAAGTGCTGCCATATTTAATCTCAGATGTGATTCCATTGCTGTCACAAAAAGGAGATGTTTGCCTACCTCTACTCTGAATGTTATTTTGAATCTTAATAGGAATCTTTGAGATTTTGGGATGAACACATGTTGATCAGAAGGCAATTTTATTTTGTTCAAAGGGCTAGGTGATCTGGGAAGGGGATGAGATCTTTCCTCCTTTCCATATGTGCATATCCTGAGTAACTGAGTGACAGTTTTTTCTTCTGTCTAAGGAGTTGTAAAACCATTTTTACTCTTGGGGTTCAGGGAGCCCTTTTCAAAACTGAGTGAACACCGAAGATAAGTTCATGGGGAATAACTAACTAACTAACTTACCTAACTAATTAATGGGGTGGGCATTAGGTATAACCTAGGATTCCTGGCAATCTGCTGTACACAGAGGGGGATGTCTCATGGCACAGAGATCTCAGAAGAATATGAGCCATCATGTGCTAATGCAAGGGATGGGAGGAGAATCTGTCAGCTGGGGATCCTGAGAGTTCTGTGAGCTTTATATGCAGGGAATGATACTTCCTTTCAAAGCTATGGAGCCAAGTGTGTAAGTAATTACACAAACCATGTGATCTGTTAAGCAGCATTTGTTATAATATTGCCTCTGTAGGATTTCCGTCTCTAAGCAAAAAGGCTTCATTCTATAGAAAAAACAGTTTCCCAGCTGAGAATTAGGATTTTTGTCCTGTTGTTCATATTCCTACTTCCTATTTCTCCCATTTATTTCTCTCCCCTCTTTAATGAGAGTATAGGAATGCTAGAGATGGTGTAATAAGAAAAGCTTCCAGACTTGCTAAGCCATGCCACAGGAAACTGTAGATAAAAATGTAAAATTACATTTGTATGAAAACAGTCTTTAATGACGCATGCAGGGTGAAGGAGTCTGCCACCCTGTAAGCAATAATGGTGCCTTCTCAAATAAATTAGCCTGTACTAATAAAAGACAAATGCAATGTCACTGTCCTCAGTGTGACTGTTCCTAGTTTAAACTTCATTGTCCTTCAGGGAAGGATGGAAAGGTCTGTGCCTTCATATTTATTTTTGCCTGATTCAGATACATTTCCTGTTGACATTGTCATTAAATGCTGTAATTTCCGAGACTGAATTATTCACGTTTGAGTTCAGCATCTTTCCTGAAAAATGTGGGTTCATGGAACAAAACACGAACGCAGAACTCATCATGTGCTGGAATCATTTCCTCCAAATATTTATGGGATACTTGTATTTGCTTTGTGCCTTAAAAAACTACTCATAGAGGTAAATAGATCAGTTACTTTTGTCAGGCAAATGTCAGAAGAGAAATGGTATTTTGACAGTAACACTTTGCTGGAGAGAAAATAAAGGAGGACACTGGGGGAAGGTGGAGGAAATAATGGGTAGATCTCATTTCTCTGGTGGGTTAGAAGAGTGGACTAGTTCTGTCCAGGCCAGCCTTTGGTCTCCCTTAAGTCAGCATTTCCTATTTTTTTCAAACTGCTGGCATCTTATGTATCTACAATTGGTTCCTGTGTTTGCACAGCACACTTGTCTTACGTCTTCAGTTCAAAGGACTCCAATGATAAACAGTCTCAACAAAGTGAACTTCTTCCTCTATGGTCTCTGCTGCATGTGGCAGAAGGTTTCTTCTTCCTGTGGTTGACATATTATAGAATTTCTTGCTTTAATTTGCAAAGGCCAGCTGTGATAGGAAATAGTGCAATCGTAAACTGGAACACATAATAGTTCTCCAAAAGTGTTGAAGTATGGGATGCAGCTACTCTTCTGCAATAGCACTTCTTGTAGGTTTCTCTATTATTGGGGGTCACTCTAAGTATGGAAATGATAAAATTTTGAAAGGAAAGGACTCCCTCTGGGATGTGCTTTTAACTTCTCCTTTGTTGGTTTAAAAAAAGAAGTTTCAGGAAGTTGGTCAAAAAAAGCATAATCTGTTAAGTGGGCTTTCTGATGTGGTATCTACAATCTATTGCTTTTTTCATGTTTCCTTCCTTAGTTTGTATACATAGGTGTATACAAACCTGTTTAATTTTTTTTTCTTTTAATGAAATCTTATTTGGGTTTTACCTTAGGTTTAAACTGAAGTGTGGAGTTGCGTTATTTGTATGTTTTATTATCCCTGTATTATGTATTGGTTTATTCCTTTGTACCCCCGTGTGCAACTTGGTTTATCCCCAGTTTTCCCGCCTTGTCCTCCCTTCCCGCCTTCCCAGTATCTATCCATCACCCTGAAAGAGGCATTTTACCCCCACCCTGGGTGCCTTGTCTATCACTCAGTGCCCCTTCCCATCCATCCAGAAGCTTCTACTCAGGGCACCGGGTGATTGGGGAGGACCTGGGGCTCCCCCCATATCTTTCTCCCATTGGACCCCACCATATCCCCCCATCCCGGAGCCACCCCCTATCCCTATCCCCATTGCTCGTTGGATACCCCTCCCTTACAGTTTATAAGCCAGTGCAAGCACCTTGTGCTTGTTCCTGTTGGCTGGCACCGTTCTAGGATATTTGGCCCCGTTGGGCTACAATAAACTCGGACTTAGCCCCCAGCAGGATCCGCTCTTCATTTACCACCGCGAGGCATGCCAGCGCTGCCCGGAACCCACAAAGGCACTCTCCAAACCCCAGCTGGGAGCGGCGGAGGGTGCCTCCATCGCCCGCCCTCGCCCCACAAGAGCTAGCCGGGGCTGAGAGAAAAGGGAACCGGGGCGGGAGCGTGGCACTGAAGCAATATGGTATCACAGGAATTAGTACACAAGTATATTTGGCTGCTAAGGTTTTCTCTTTCCATGTATGACTGTACTAGGGTCTCAAAACCAAATTAATACCAAAAGTTAAAGACTATGTTTGAGTGAATTGCTATGTAGTGGTAACACATTTATAAATCAGTAGGTCTGACCTATGACTAAGTTCTACTGTATTCAGACAAAAAGAATATTTCCTGGTAGTACCAACTGAGCAGGGAAAGACCTGAATAGTAGCACATATATTGCATATATTGAAATTGCCTGCTTGACTGTCCCTTATCAGGATCGTAAGGTTTATATTCATTAGATCCAATGGGCAGACAATTGTTTTCTCCAGGGCAGCCCCGGCCTTACCATGTGTTTGATAGATCCTTAAAACCCTTCAGTAAATGCCCTGGGGAGCTGTGATTCAGGTGTGAGTGGACAAGGACAGGAGAACCAGGGTTAAGCGATTGCTAGAGCTGGTGTCAGTGTCACTGAGGAAGTGAAAGTTTTTGGTAAACAAAC